GTACTAACATCGGTAAGCTCACGTATTCTGCGGACTGCGTATGCAGCGGAGCTTAATCTGCTGGCCAGGGAAGATATATGTGGAAACCATTGAAATTTACTATCTAAGGTCACTCCCAAGAATACTGCTTTATTAACAAGGTCTAACTTTTCTCCGTTTATTTCTACGCTTGGACTAGTCGATTTTACGTTAGGTAATTCAAATTTAACACATTTTGTCTTCTTGGCATTAAGCAATAAATTGTTAGCATTAAACCAATGTGATTCACCTAAATGACACACTTCCCTTTAAAATTTCGACAATTGGTACCATCATCCTACTTACTAATTTATATACGCGTTGCATACTAGGGCCAATTATTTGATAATGTCCCTGGAGAACTAAAAGAACTCATCAAACGAGTATTAGTGGTTGTAATAATAAGTTGGTAGTAATCTAACCAGATTTGATATTAAATCCCTTATTTTAAGGATCGTCACGGACTGAGTCATCATTTCCATTATCTCTACGCCTCGTTGGTCATGCGGGTCATACCACATTGTTATGTTTGTCACATATAATTAGATATTATACAGGCTGTTACAAAAATGGTGCTGTTAACGAACGAATGAAACTAAAATCACACAATTTTTGACTCTAGGTACCTACAGACAAACTTAATATCACAGATGGTAAGAACATTAAAATGAATATGTCATAAAATAGTGCTTAGAAAGATCTTATTGAGCCATAACATAAAGATTTCTTTATACCCACCGGACAACGTCTTTTTGAACGACTAATAAAAATAAACGATATATTTTTATGTTGGGACCATACGCCGTGTTTTGAAAATGTTACACTATTTTATAAAGTTAAAAGAAATGGTAAAAGGACTTCAATCTCGCTGCTTATTCCGCGACTACTTAAAAAATTGATTTTTTTACTTATGAGCCAGGCATTCAGGTAGTTAAAACATAATCAGTCTTACCACAAAGACCTTTAAGCAGTTGTTTACCAGATGTTTAGAAAAAGTCGTATTATAATTTCGCGACTAACCATTGTTTTGGGATAGGCAGCTGTTGGACATTGTTTAATTTAAACCACTGCCAGATGTTCTTAATTTAACGCGTGATTTAGTCTTCGCTATGGAACACCAATACCCCAGGGTCATCGCAAGCTATCCTTTACTGCTCTGTCAAAGACAAAGTCAAATTATCATTTATTCCATAGCGACTGTGAACTGGCAATCGATACTATCTCAGTTTTGACAATTGTACAGGATAAAGAAATAAATTGTTTGCGTCATTTATATAGCTTCTGATTTATTAAATAAAAATCATTGACTTACAATTATATGGACGCCGGGTCCGCGCTAAAAAGTGTCTGAACTTATAGGGCGTTAAAATCGTAAACAGAGCGTCATTCACGGTTTAGTCTTCGTTTGTTCGACTGACAGCGAAGCAAGCAAAATTAGACAGTACTGCGATGACATTACAATTTAAATTCAACGTTTTAGCTTTTTCATATTCCTTTACATGTCACTACGTTTAAATAGGTTGACTTGGGACATTTTTTTG